AACGTTTTAGGGCATTTGCCACAGAAGTTGCACGAGAAGCTGCATCAGCTCCAAGTGATAGCACGTACAAGAAATCTAGCGTTTTGGTCGATCATCTCATGAAGCGAAAAAACGTGATTGCTGAAGGATTGTTACAGGATATCTACGACATCCCATTTGTAGCCGGGGACCCTGTCAAAGAAAGCCTACAAGCAATTTGCCTGCCATTTGGAGGCTACATAGGTCGTCAGACACCATATTTTGCCTTCCGAGGAGCAGTTCCCGTTAGTCACTCCGAAATAGTCTGGACTAAAGCACATTTACTTCCAGGGTGGGCTGATCCAAAGAATCGTTCTTCTGATCTTCGCCATGCCTGTCCTCCAAAAGTCAACTTAGACAGTTACTGCAATGCTTTTGTCTCCCAGCTTCAGATTCAGGACACGCCAACACCGGACCTTGTGGTTGCTCACTGCCAAAATGTATGCTCACAAGTTGGAAAAAACAGTGAAAAAACAAATTCTTCAAGAGAACGATGTTTAACTCTAACTGAAGTAATGGAATGTATCTACTTTTTCTTGCAAACCAACAACATCGAGAACAGTGATGCAAAGAAAGTTTTAGAGAGTATACCTTGCATTTTGGTGGAAAGTGGAAAGAAGTTCATTCTACCGCGTCAAGCAGTCCTTGAGCTTTATGAGGACTTGCAGATCAGGCCATTTCTCTATGGAATTCCAATGGAATTCGGTAGGTTCCGTAGTTTGTTCCAGAGGCTTGGCTGCTCAAAATCTGTCACTATAGTCCACTATGCCATGGTGTTGGACTTGCTGCATAACAAGTGCCACAGTTCGAAACTAGACCCGAATGAAGTAAAAGTGTGCATTAAGGCAGTCAAAGGATTCTTTGATAAGCTTCAGGGAGATGATCAAGAAGTGAATGCCATATCTCAGCTTTACTTACCTGGCATGTCTCTGACACGCAAGGAGACGGACGGCAATGCCAATGTGGTGCCTCTCAATTTGCATAAGTCTTCGGAGCTGATTTTCAATGATGTCTCGCCCGCTATCCGAGATCGATTGTATAATTTCCGACAGAATCTCTTGCTCGACCCACGCCAGATGAATGTATATAGCGTTAATGCCGGTACCAACTACAAAGAGCTTATGATGAAGTTACCAGAATCTCTGCGGCCAAAAATGCTATCCTCTGCTGTCAAAGAACATATCAGCTCGCCAAGTTTTGAAACTATATCGAGCACTGCTATTACCCAACTTAAGCAGCAACTTTCGTCACCACAGTTCTTTTATGGCATTGTGAGGTTAATCCGACACGAGAACTGTCGACTGAAGAGGAATGTTGATGACACCGTGATTGAAAGTATCAAGAAAAGGCTTTGCACCATCGGGCTTTATGCCGTAAATAGCCTCAAGACATTAATTTTTTGCGACGGAAATCCCATCCCAGACAGTGAAGCAGAAGTTCCATACTTCGTGAACAAGACTTTAGCCTCTGGTGAAGAAATTTCAAAGGTATACGTCAATGTCGCGACAGGGACGGACACATACACCAGGACAATATTGCTGGTCTCTGGCGTGGTCAAAGAAGTATGTTTTGGACTTCTTGGAGAAAGTGCATTGTTGATTTCCCATATGTTAAGCTGTTCCCTAAACGACATACAGTCCCTGCTCGATACTATGGGCGTACGACCAGATGACTCTCTCCCTTTGGAAGAGGTAGAAATTCTTCCTGAGCCTGGTAGCTTTATTCCTCAAGATGAACACCACCTATTAAATGACGACTTTGAAGAATTTGAACCAGGCGATTATGTGGGATTTGAGCTGCATGACCCAAGTTTAGTTAGAGAAGGAGGAGATGCCACCTACATATATGCTATAATTATCGAAGAAGTAACGAGTGAATGTAACAGCCGCGTGAAAAGGCGTTACAGAGTCAACATTGGAAATGGCCAAGAAAAAATTGTCGATGCTACGGACCTGTACAAATTCCACCGTTTGACCGAGTCATCTTCAAATGCGATAGTCCTGCGTGATAGGCCTAGGCAGCCCCCTAACTTAAGAAGCAGAAAGAGAGTTTTCGATGAGATCTCAGACCTTCTAGAGGAAGCGTGGACTCTTCCACAAGACAAAAGACGAAAAATAGTCAAGCGGATGTATTTGCGGTGGCACCCTGATAAAAACATTGGCGATGAGGAATTCTGCAAAGAGGTATGTCAGCACATACAGAGCGAAGTTTCACGGTTGGAAAGAGGAGAGCCTCGAGGTAGCCCAAGCACAAGATCTGAAACTGGAAATCAAGACGGGTCCTACGGTAGCTTCTTTAATTCATGGGCAGGTCGTGCAAGGGAACATAACACGCAGCGCCGGGAATACAGAGGAAGACCACGACATCGTAAGAATAATCCTCAACCAGGGGAGGCCAGACGTTGGTTCAAACAAGCGGTTGCAGATATCCAGGCAGCAAGCAATGACATAATCTACGAGAGACCTTCTTATGAGTGGGCATGCTTCAAATGTCACCAGGTAAGAGAAAACGTAAGATGTAATAAGGTCATTTAGTATTATCAACCGAGTTGATACCATAAATTGACCACTGTGAAGAGTTTTTATGTTAACGTTTCGAGCGTTAGCGTTAGCACTTCTTCAGCGCCCTTTGCTATGACGGAAGGCTAACGCTCGAAACGTCAGCTTTAAAACTCTTTACGATAGCCGATCTACGTTATCAACTCAGTTGATAATATTAAATAACCCCGTTATATTCTCTCACCGACGCAGCACCACAGTTTCTTTAGAGACTTACCACCTTTATTCATCAGTTATAATAGTTTTGATGTGCTGCCATCATTATTTCAATGTTGTGGCATAGCATTTAGTAAAATAATAGAATTCCTTTAGTTAAGTTAAGCCATTTTATTTTGATAACTTATCGTATCTCTTTGGCTTTCCCTTACGACCATATATATACTTGTCAATTGTGAGCGGAGGGGAATGTCATTAGTTGCTCTTCCAAGGTCTTAAAGGCTTTTTTTTTCTTAAGTGGTAGAAGTTATATTGCAGACACTTAAATCGTTTTTTATCTTTAATTGAGGTGCTTCTGAAAGAAACATTTAACGGAATTAACTTGAACATGACTCATAAATCGACAGGGTTGAAGTTTTCTATTTTTTCTTCCTCACAGGCAGCAGAGAAGGCTTTGAAGGCGGCACAGTATGCAGTAGATACAGATAGGACAAGGGTCCACAACCTTCTAGAGAATTGCTGCGATCTAAATGACCCCGAGCTATCAAATCTAGCGATGCAGTTAGAGTGTCTAGTTGGTGATTCTACACGCATGCGTTACCCAGACAGAATGTGTTTTCCCCAGATTCCAAATGAGGTGTACTCTGCCGAGATGGCCCAGCAGGCCTTGCAGCTAGCTAAGAAAATTGTTGCACGCGTACAGAGCAGGATAACCTAAGGTGAGAGCTGAAGAGAAATGAACAAATACGTGGGAAACATAAGTTTACTGAATGCATCCAATTCAAGAGAACATGCAGTTCAAATCTAGGTCATTGCTTCCGCCCTCTTGACATGAGTTGTGATGACGAGGCAACATTTCGTCAAGCAGCACGTTTCAGAAAGCATAAGGCTGAAGAATCAGGCGCCATACGTTTATAACGAAAGTGGAAAGGAAACTAGGCCTTTTGCGTTTGCTTATGATATCGATGAGATATTCAGGTGAAACAGGTCCATTTAACTCTTGAGAATAAAAGGCCAAAAACTGTGCATTTTATTTTTTTGTGCGTGCCTAACTGGTCGCCAAAAAAGCAGTTGGGAAAAATATGTTACAAATTTCTCTTAGGGTAGAATGGTTGCTTGTGTATACTATTTCTAAAGCAAATTTGCCTTGGCAATAAGGACCATGCAGGATGTGCAATTTTTGTTGTTGCGAGTGCTAATAACGTAATGATAATAAAAATAAATTTTACCAAGAGGTGTAAAGCCCTCGAAATAGAAGAAATGGTAGCTTGAAGGAGATTGGAAAAGGAAGGTACTAGCTTTTTTTAAAATTTACTTCAACCATGCTGAATCAAAGTGAAACATAATATGCTGTGCTGCACATTTTTGATTGACTTAAAATTTATCAAACCATTTGAATTTTCACTTTCGCTTTTTCTTGTACATATGAACGTAGTCTGAAAAAAAATCTTGAAAAATTAAAGTAAGAAATTATGAAGCATACCTTATATTATTTTATTTTTCAGGGTCTATCTGGTTAGGATTCGATGCAAGGATAGAGATCAAGCATGGCTGTCTAATGTGCCCGCAATGTGACAACCATCTCGTGCATCTTCTAAAACTAGAATTATTTTGATCATGACCGTACAGCTTGTCTTTATTTCTAACGCCCTCGATCTAAAAACCTGTCTTTCCAAAGGCAGATTTTTTAAAACTAAGTATTGAAATGTATCTTGATCTGCTTTATCTGAGATTAGATCAGATCAAAATCAGTTTTTCTCATGTCACTCTAGAGTACTAAACCGGTTACAGGTGTGTTCAGCGCTCAGTAAAAAACCTTCTACAGGAAAACCTGCATGTATCCCACGAATACTTCATTTTTAGTGATAGCTACCTTTCATTATGAGTTAGGTTGAAGGATCGAGTTTACTTTTTCTTATTTCAAAATCAATATTTTTCTTTTAAAAATTGTCTAGCCTCGAAACTGTTAATGTGTATCTTTAGAAACGTTGGTGTCCGCATCATGTATATCAGTAGACTAAAATGTAGCTATTGTATGACGTAAAGTCTGCTAGAGAAACTACAACCAATAAGGGATATGCCTTAAAAGGTGGCGTAGATTAATTTGAAGACTAGTTAGTTCCCCAATGGATCGATGCTACCACAGTTTTACGTGCATTCCCTTGAAATGATTTCATAATTGCTTCATGATCTCTCAACATGTTATGATCATTTTTGTGACACAGGGCCTTTGCACCTCCATAGCCTTTAAAAACACCCTATTATTGAATTGCAGTCAGCATATCCAGTTTCATCTTTCTGCATAGCTAAAATTTTGATGATAACATAGCAAGTAAATTTGTCTAATCAAATTCAACTACGTGAGCTTGCTTCATATTCCTATTGTGCACGCTCATTACGCCAGCAAACAAATCTCTCGAGAAAAAAAAATGTTCCATTGGGTTGAAAATGTTATAAAACAATTAGTTCATACGTCAGTGTGCGTTCATCGAGATATGAAGCACTTGGGAAGTTTGCAGAGCACGAAAGATACGTAAGAGTTGCTCGAGGCTACGCCTCGAGCAACTCTATCTTTTTGAGTGCTCTCCAAATTTCCCGCGTGCTTTATATCTCGATGAACGCACGCTGACGTATGAACCAATTGTTAATTTATACACGCGCTTCAGAACCACCTTTAGGGTTTTGATAATTAAGGTGGTTCTGAACCTTATGTGCACATCTTTTTTCAACTGTGCAGGAATAAGTGTTAATGTCTGATTTTCTGGATCAGAGAAAAATTGTTCTACAGAATTTTTATCTAAATATCAAACTACTATAGGAACGACTTTGACCAATCAACTACTACAAGAGCAGACCGTAAAAATTCTCCTGAAACTTTCCACAGAAATGCATGTACTTTCAATTCACCTACAGGTAACCAAACTTCAGAGTTATCGAGCAATTGCATTTTAGTTTCTGTTATTTCCTGGAAAACCAATCCGATAAGGAAAAAATTGACCTGGATAATTGTTCTCCATACCGAAAGGAAACAAAAGAAAAAATATAAAAACAGGAGAAAAAAAAAAGAAAAAAAAGAAAAAAGAACTGAAAGCAACAAGTTTCCCCCATCTTTCTCAAGTTAATCCTGATCAAATCGATGAATGCAGAGAAGCCAAATAAGACCATCAAGCGAAAAAAAAAAAAAAAACTTGACGTAGTTTCTTCATGCTATTCCCTATTCAATCAAATAAGACTCCTGCTTCTTCCGTCGATCAGTTGGGCTACTCACAACGTCTATAACGAAATTAATTAATCAGAGAGCTAGAAAGCTAGAAAAAGCTAAAAGCTAAAAGCTAAAATTAGAAAGCTTCTAAAAATTCCTGAAAATGAAAGGCCAGCGAGTTTTTAAGCCAAGACAAGTCTGAAAAAAATTTTTTCTCATAATTATTGAATTATTGTGCCGAAAATATTTCCTTTATTACGGGCCACCCATGGACTTTTCTTTTGCATTCTTCATTATTAAACATTTCCGCTCGAGACTTTGAGGTTTGGGGCCCTGTCGAGAAGTTTGTTTACAATGAAAACCTCTGATTCAAAGGGCATTCAAAAGATGTATTTTTAGTGCCTCAAGCAATTTGATTGATCCTTTGTTTCCCCGATAATTGACGCATATTTGGCGCGACATCAAAACCGTACGAGTTGATATTCTGCTGTGGAGACCAAACGATAAAGAAGGATCGATAGCCACTAAAAATTGTGCATGATCAAAATGGCTCATACAGAAAATCACCACAACGACTCACCTGAAATGAACTTGAATTTCTCCTTTCTAGGCTCTATGAATTTGTATTTGGTAGTGGCGGGAGCTTTTGGCTTTCC